AAGTAAGAGAAGGTTAGTTCACAGACCTAGGTAGTTTGACGATTCCGTAGAATTGAAGTTTGAGCTTGTGTTCGGTGAAGTATTGGAGTTTCTAAGGCTTTTATCTATGATAGGGAAGAGGGAGTTCAGAGAAACAAGAGAGGTACGTGAGATGAAGAAATGAAATAAATTTCATGCTAGAAATCTCTTAAATACCCTCAGCTCTGCACGATCTCGCTTGAGCAACAAACAACTCACTTGAGCGACGACATCTCGCTTCAGCGACGGATCCTTCGCCTGAGAGAGATATGCAGACAATGGTTTTTCCAAAGTTTTTCTGGTATGCTCGCTTGAGCAAGCTCCATCTCGCCTGAGCGAGATAGCAACCAGAGAGGGCGAGATTTCTCCTGTGAGTCCTCGCCTGAACGACACAGCTCGCCTGGGCAAGATCTCCATCTCGCCTGAGTGAGGTGACGGTTGGGAAAATTCTATCCTATCTCGCTTGAGCGAGAATTACTCGCCTGAGCGAGAATTACTCGCCTGAGCGAGAATTACTCGCCTGAGCAAGATTGCTCTAGAACAGGATATTTCTGGGCACTCAATCTAACTTGAACGAGATTCCTCTCACTTAAGCGAGATTCCCTATATCAACCTCTTGTAAAACTCTTCTTAATTTACTCCTAACACATTTTAATGCTATTTAATATCAAGCAAAACATAATTTTTTGAATAATGAAAATAGGGTGTTACATTGGATCCTCAGTATTTATGATCAAATGTTTGTAAATAATTAAACTGTTTATACGCAAATGATACTAGTACACACACACACACACACACACACACACACACACACACACATATATATATATATATATATATATATATTTAGCTATGATTTACCCTTTTTCATTTTTATTACCTAAATTAATTTATGAATATAGTTATTAACCAAAAAACTTTTAATTTTTCCCATATATGTATTACGCTACAAAACAAATTTTATTTCATTTTATTAGTTTCAATTAAAACTATTATGTATATTGAAATTAAAATTTAAGGATGTCATATGTTCCCAATAATATAATTCTTGTTGCATGCTCTTAAGTGAATGTTTGTGCCTTTTTTATGATAATTTGGAACTTTTATCCTCAAGGAACCCAATTTTTCTTATATAGAAGAGCATATTAAGTCATTAATTATTGATATAAGATTTTTGTTTAGAAATTAATAATTAACTACATTCTCTACTTTTCTACTCTACATTAAACTTTAACCCACTAATGTGAGTTTTGAGCCTTTATGAAGAATTTCATCCTAATTTAATTGATGATATCCCTTCCTTCATTGTTTTATGCGATTATCTCCTTAAGATTTATGTTTTACAACTTGACTTGTAACTAACTTGAGGTTATTCTTTCTTATTACATGCTATATGATTGAGGCATATTAGGATTATTTTTTTCCTAACCTTTAGCATGTTTGAGAAACACCTAGTTGTCTCCATTGAGCTTGATTGATAGATTAATTTTCTATTGGTCCCTTTCTTTAAATTATTTAAAATATTTTGATGACCTTTAGTTTATGAATGAAGCAATTGGGTTGTTGAATTGATTGTTGAATTCTCCTCTATGCCTTTTATGTGCAAAAAAAAAAGAAAGAAAGAAAATATGCACAACTATAAAAAAGAATGAAAAATAGAAAAAAGAAAATAAAAATGGTTACAAATAAATGAAAGGAAGGAGAAGTAAAGAAATTGATTGGATATGAAATATAAAAAAAAGTACTCTAAGAGCTTTTAATTGTTAATTATTATGATTTATTACCCCTTTGTATATTCCTCCCTTTTATTTATTTCACCTCAATTATTAAAACTCTTGGCCACATGACAACCTAAAAAAGACCTCATGATTTTTACTTGCATTCAATTTACTCACTAGAGAATCAATTTATGATCAAGCCTATGTTAGTATACTTCTCTTTAGACGAACTGAGTGATATCTCCTTTTGTTCCTAGACACTTAGAGAAAGAAAAAAGTAGAGTACTGCAATTTGATGTTTGAATGATAATTTAAGTAAAATAAGATTCTAATTGCGAAATGTTTAAATTACTTATGTTCAGTAATGTTACTCTTTCTATTCTCTTAATCTCATTTGTCTTAGGTTCCTTGTTGTGATGACATATTTCAAGTTATTCCTAACTAGGAATTTGCTTAATGACAAGCAAATCTCAAGTATCAAGGAGTTGATAAAGTTGTATTTGGGCATGTTTTTATAGTTATATTTATATGTGTGACCATTAATTTATGAAGATTTTATATTGATTTTTTATATTGATTATGTAGTTTAGCATTGGAAGGTCACAATTTAATTTTGGATGCATTTTGGACCCAAATTGGATGGAAAATAGGGTTTCACCGCAGCCAACACACCCATATCCTACTAGCCAACATGGGTGTGCTTCGAACCATATGTACAACCGTGCTTATGTATTTGAGTGGCTGTGCTTACCTGCGAGAAGTCCAACTTTGAAGAAATATTAGGATTTTTAAATCTTATTAAAGGAACCTCATAGGCAATGACTTAGACATCTCTCTCCATCTTTTGGCATCTTTTGACACCTTCAGTCTTAATTTTGGCGATTCACTAACAACTATTGGAGGTTTGGGACCGTGTCTTAAAATTAAGAGCTTTCTTCATTTCTTCACCGTTTGAGATTTCTCTAGTTTGCATTTACTTTTCGAATAACTATAAATTGATTTATTATTATTGTGGATTTATTTTATATTATGTTTAGCCAAATCTATAGTTGGGGCTACGGTGAAATCTTTGAATGACTTTATTAAATCTTTGTAATTACTGATAATTTCATATTTCTTTTCTTGATTGGTATTTATCTTATTACACTATATTTGTATATTTAGAATCAATAACTCTTAAATATACCATAATTAATTATATTGTAGGCAATCGTACCACATATAGTTAATGGATCTATAAGATAAAACAAGATAAAGGATTAGGTGGACCAAACTTAGTTCTTCTCTTTCAATTGTTATTAAATTAACAGCTTGTAAACTCTTTATATTTTTCCTTCCTTTTACCTTGTATGACCATTAGGGGTAATAACTTAGGAAAAAGACCATTAACATTGCATGACCATTGGAATAGATTTAGTATGAGTAATTGCTAATCATAAAGAAACCAAAATTTAAATTAATATAAAAGTGAACATAAAGAAGTGTAAAAGCGAAACCATACACCTAAGGTTCTTCTGGATTAGTTTATTGTCAGAGGGTGTGCTATTTTAATTCCTTTTAATTCTTTTATATTTAAATTCCTATTTTATTTAATTCTGCATCCTTTAAGTTCAAACAATTGAATTAAGATATTCATAGTGCTTTGAAACAATCCTTATTGACGATATTTGGAGAACTTATTTTAGAACTTTTTTATTACTTTTTGACGAGTACACTTATATACGAACAATGACATAAGGCAAACTTTGGTCTTTTAATTTGTCGTTCCTTATCTTTCATGCACATTGCAAAGGTGTAACACAAGCCTGAAAATACAACCACAACAAAGGCAAAGTTCACTGTTTAGTAAGAAAAGTGCTACAAAATTATTGCTAAACTAGTGTTTGGGAGAAATGAAAATTTTTCAAGTTATAAATTTTCTCGAAAAAAGTTGATTTTAAATGGGATGAAAGGTTTTTAGTGGAAAAAAGTTTCTTGAATAGATAATCTATAATGGTCAAGATTTACCATTTCTTATCAAAAAGATCTTATGTTGAACTAATTGATTTTTGTGGCCTTAATTTCTAGTTGAAATAGATATTTCGACAAAAATTTTGCATAACATAGCTTTAGTAAGATTTTAGTTGAAAAATGACATTTCGACAAGTTTCTTGGAGTATGTACGGCCTAAGAAACATAGATTTTTAGTTGAAAAGGAAGTAAGTTTTTCAACAAGTTTTTGGATAAATTATGGCCAATGAAAAGCATGGTTTATTAATGAAAATGAAGAGGCATTTTGATGAGTTTCATAATAAATTGGTGGCTAAGAAATATTGATGTTTAGTAAAAAAGGAAGTGATATTTTTATCTAGTATTTACAAGAAATTTGTGACCAAACGAAATATGATTTCTAGTCGAAATGTGACATTTTGACAAATTTTTTAGTAAGTTTATAAATGATTTGCAGATAAAGTTGCAAGATACAAGAATGTCAAAAGTTAGTTAGAAAAAGAATCTTTTGAGATGCTTTCAGAAAATAATGCCTTTTTAACTTAAGTCAAGAATTGATCGAAGTCTACTTTGTCAAAATTGGATCAAGCTATTTTTAAACGAAGAATCTCAAGTACTAAGGGTCTAAAGATGGAAGATTTATATTGAAATCCCAATGCATTTAAGGCAGTTATGAGTGGTTATTAATAAAGACATGTGTCAAAGATCGTGTGTAGTGCGTGATAGTAGTTACAAGTAGATGTTGTAGGCAGTTATATTGTAAAATACATGATTTGGAAAATTATTTAAGAAACGTAGTTTATGAGTTATGACTTTTACACTCAAACATTCATGCTCAAAATCTATACGTTGCCAGAGTTCTATGCATGCTAGACATCGGAGGAAAGAGAATCAACAATCCTGTGTTGATTGTTGAAAGTTGTACATTTAGGTATTGCAATTTAATATCAATTCCAATTATTTACTTTAACATTTTATTGCTCTCCTTTATTGTTTTTCTACAATTCTTTTTCTTTTACCCTTTCTATTTTTATTTTGCTCATTTTAAGACATTAATTTAATTATCTCAGTGAGAATACACTACGAAAAACCCACAAAAAGAATCTAAAAGTTAAATCTGATTGCTTTTAAATTTATTTGTTTACTGAAAAACTCACATTAAACAACTCGATAACCCAAAATATACAAGCAAGAAGAATAAATTAGTCTTAGTTAGTTCAGATTTCTCACTAGTGTTTAACATCCCCAAATGCAACTCCTGCTCGGTTATTCATCGAAACATACCAATATTATACAGACAATGATTTGAAAGCAGAAATTCTTGGAACATAGAAAATTTTCACTTCCTGTTGTATGTCTACGATTTCGTAAAAGCACTTTGCATCATAGTTCATACATCAAGGATTTTTCTTCATCTTCTTTTATTGTGTTAATCATGAGAGCAACTTGATTCATGCTTGGCCTTGCCTCTGGGGAACCATTGACACATCTTATAGCCACCTGAAGCAAATTGACCATCCTCTCTTCACTTGCATACTCAGATATTAGGAACTTGTCAAAGACTTCACCCGTCCATTCTTCCTTTACAACGGACTGGACCCAATCAGTCAAATCAATCCCATTGCTCTTCACCAGTTTTCCAGTAAGCAATTCAAGAAGAATAACACCAAAGCCATAAACATCTCCCTTTAAGGCATCAAACGCACCAGCAACAATAGGACTGGAAAAAGGTGAAATTTGTTGATCATCAATACCCATTACACCATATTCACTTATACATGGCTCCATGTTCTTGTTTAGCAAAATGTTGGAGGATTTCATATTACCGTGACCTATACCATGTTGGCCTTGCTCTTGATGCATGAAAGCTAATGCCTCAGCAATTGTAGCTGCAATCCCAAGTCTGCTGGTCCAGTCCAAGGTTTTTGGAGTACCTGAAAAGCGTAAATTACAATTTAGTACACATTGCTTCTTATGCAAGTTGACAGAAAAATTTGAAATTTTTTTTAACCAATACCGAAATGTGATATTTATTAAAAAAAAGAAAAAAGAAAAAAGAAAAGTAGATATGATATTTTTCGTTCATCAAAGAAAGTGTAACATATATATGCAAAAATAAAAGGAAGATATGGTATTTACCATGTAGAAGCTTAAATAAACTTCCATTGTGCTGATATTCATAGACCAAAAGCTTCTCTTGTTTGGAACAATAGAAAGCAAGAGGTGACAGTACATGAGGGTGCTTCACTTGAGTCAGTATGTGCATTCTTTGCTTGAATTCATGGCTTGAAATACTCCAATCCTTGATCCTTTTTACAACCACCATCACCCCCTTTTCAACCATCACCTTATAAAGACTTCCATTCTTTCCTCTACCAATCAACTCTGCAGGGGCCCTCAACAAGTCCTCCAATTTCAATTCATTAGCCGTTGGCCTTGAAAGAACTATAAGTGATTGTGAAACCATCCCACTCTCGGAAGTGACTGAAAACTCAGATCTGCTTACCTCAGCTTTGTATTCGCTGGAAACATTGCTAGTCTTTTCAACACCACCATCACTTGCCACTACCCCATTCAATGCTTCAATTTTATGATCTCTTTTCTTTCTTCTACACAGTTTTATGAATACAATAAGGATAATAACAAAACCCAATACAGCATAGCCTGAGTACATAAGAATCTGCTCTTTTGAAGGACCTTTTGATTCTTCTGATGCCTGAGCCTGGGAGAGAGGCATGGGTAGAGCAGAACACTTTTTTGGTAGTGGATCTCCACAGAGTTCAGGATTACCGAGGAAGCTATCAGCAAAGAAATAGCCATGCACATTTGGAATGGAGCCGCTGAAATTGTTAAAAGAGACATTAAATTGATCAAAATTGGAGAAATCAAATGCGGGTATGTTTCCACCGAGATGATTGTTTTGTGCTAGGAACATGTTCAGTCCTGAGATTGTGGACAAGTCTGGCAAAGGTCCCGAAAACTCATTGCTCGAAATGTCTAGTCTTTTCAAATTATTCAACATGGTGAGTGAAGTAGGAAGCTCCCCAGTAAGTTTGTTCCCTCTTAAGTGTAACCGAGTGAGTTGTTTGCAGTTTCCAATCCCTGCTGCTATCTCTCCACTAATTTGGTTGCCATCAAGACTAAGGAAAGTGAGAGATGCAGCTAGAGGCTGCAAGTTGCAAAGCATAGCAACGTCAAGAGTTCCAGACAAATTGAACCTGTCAAGTAACAACCTCTTTATAGACATGTTTTGAGCATCACAATATACACCTTGCCAGAGGTCCTTGCACGGATCAGAGTCTTGTTTCCAAACCAAAGTGGAGTTTTGCTGGCCATCACTGCTGGAGAGTAGTGCCAGAAACTGTACCAAAGTTCCCTTCACCTCATCCTCCACACAATAACTCATGTTTAGGAGGAAAAGGGATGTAGTGAAGACTACCCATAAATAATTTCTTTCCATTTGGGCAAGATTTTGTGAGATACTCAGCTTTGTTGCTCGGAGTGAATATGAATGGTTTATGAAAAGAAAAGATTTTTCAAATTTGAATGATAAAAGTTCCAATATTCAGAGATTTTTGCAGAATCATAGAACGGGTCCGCATGGCTGATTCTACAATGACTATTTGTTTCCTAGTTGGCTTGGCGTGATTAATTACCATTAATTAGAAAATAATAAACCTAAGGCCATCATGTTCAAAAAATATTAGACAAATATAGGCCGGCATGATGTATAATTGCAGCTATTATTGTCAATACCTTCCTAATTTCATTCATATGGCATTGTGTACTACGCTAACAGGGATATTGACGTTCATTCTGAGCTTTTATTATGCTATGCTACCACAAGATATCAAAAAGCCGCCATGATTTCGACCCGCCAGAGGAATTCCGACACCAACAATTTTGCTTGGAAATATCATGATTTTATTTCATTATTTAATTAGATTAATATTTATCCATTGCTCGATATAATTAAATTAAAAATAATAAAAATATTAAACATTTTAGGTTAAATAAATTTTTAAATCTAATAGAGGAAATATCACTATCAAAATTATTAAAGTCTGAATCATTATAACACAATTATTAAAAATTATAAATATCAATTACTTTGCAATGAATATTTTATCTCATCTATTAACATGAAGATTTATAACAATTTTTTAAGACACGTTATAAATAAAATATAATATTTTTTGATATATAATTTAATTAACTTTTAATATATTTTATTATTTTATTAAAGAATATTTTTATACAATAAAATAACCCTCTCTACATCAATTAAATATTTTTAATTTAAAACATTATGTCGTCATATGTACTGTATAAGAAATTTATTCTACTTGTATCCTGTATAAACTAATAAAAGATTTCACATATAAAAATAAAATAAATAATTAATTAAGAATTCAAAAATTAAATTAAAACTATTAAAATATTTTCCATTAAATTTTATAAGAATGAAATTATTGATAATATAACTTACAAATTTAATGTACCGTCATAAAACATAAAAATCATTTAAGTAATGTTATAATATTATTTTCATAATCGTACGTCATAAATTCATATATCTTTTATTATTTTATTATTTAATTTAATAAATTTTTTAAAAGAGTATTGTTGAAAAGATTGGAACAAAGTTAATATATCTAATATATATTTAATAAATATGAAATATAAATGAGTTTTATGTACTCTATTCTACTCGATAGTGTTTTTGAAGATAGATATCTGAATAAATTCTTACTAAATTATCTGTTTAATCAGTTATATATGAATTTATAGTTATTGTACAAATAGATAAATATAACTATTAATAATTTATTGAAGTAAAATATGGGGTAAAATATGCTTGTAAATACGGTTAAGTTTAATTTTAGTATTCTGAAAAAGAAATTATTGATTTTGGTTTTTATAAATTTTAAAATTGTAAAACATAGTTCATATTATCTCTAATTGATGACATGGTTTTCATCTAGACATGCAACATTATTTGTATATAGATAAATTATTATAAAAGAAAAAAATATAAAAATAAATAAGAGTCCTTCTCTAAATTAATTAATTTATATTTTATTTTTTTAAAAAGTTAATGTCATTTATTTTATTTAAAACTTAAAGTGATAAATTATTTTTAACTTATAAAAAAATTATTCATTTTTTATATTATTTATTTCTTTTATAAATATTTATTTATAAGTTCATCCAAACTGGACAATATTAATCAATAGCATTGAACTTTTTGAAAAAAAAAATAATAGAATGAATTTGAATGACTTCTTTTGATAAAATTAATTAATTAATTTATAGAATTTTATAATCACATTTGTTTCTAGAATTGAAAACATTAGGAATAGCTGGGTTCTAAGAAATGTTATCTATTTTTATTTTTTATTTTATTTTATTTTCTATTTTTAAATATTTGGACAAGAAATATTAAACTTTTAATAAACATAGGTATAGATGTCGCTGTCTTAATGTGTCTTAGAGATGTTTGTCACAATAAGTTCGAAGACTCTTGTATAGGAACAGTAGAAACCAGTCTAGGTTAAGGACCGATCTATTTCAACTGTTTTCCTAATAAGACAGTGAGTTTCATGGATGTTAATATCCATGACTCTCTATTTCTCAATATTTGCTTTCATGGATTAGACATGAAAGAGGGATCTATTCCCACAGCTCTTATCTATAGGATCCAGTACAAGGTCATGAATTCTTATGCATCTTGAGTCATTCTCAAGCCCCAGAAAGGTGTGACTACTTTGTTTATCATTGATATGATAAAGGCTAATGTCTCTCTTCCTATAATCATCAAATGGGATGAAGTTACTCTCTTTGAGGAGTGGGTTATGGATAAGGCCACACCCTGTATCTCTAGACCTGCTCCTCAAATTCAAGATATTTCTTAGGATAATTCTGGGAAAGTCGAGATAATCTTCAATAGAAGAAACTCTTTTTCTTCTAGGATTGATGCTTTTAGCAGACAATCTGATTTTGCATCTGCAAGGAGATCATTCTTTTATAGATCCCAAACCTTTAGATCTGAGATACCTAGAGATGTAGCTCATGATCCTTCTCATATAAACCTACAAGGTTTAAATACCTCTTCTAGTATTCCTAGAACTGTTTACCAAACCTCTGATGAGGAAGATGAAAATCAGAATATCCAATCTCTAACTTATTCTTCTCTTAATAAATCTTATGATTTTGTCTCATAAGTTTATTATAGATAAGGAAACCCTTAGGAACGATTTCTATTCTGAGGATTGGAAACCTTAGAAAGATTGGTTTTTCCAGAATTACAAGGGTAGTAATAGATCTAACATCCAAGAGAAATTTTATAAATTTCTTGAAAAAGTTGAACAAAACATTCCTTTCTTTGATTGGTTTCATTCTTATACCAGTCAAAACAATTTAGATTATCTTTGCCAGGAAGATATTATTAATACCTCCTCTGCTAATGTTATTTTCTGGCAGATCACAGATGGACAAATAGTTCAAAGTGATCTTCCTCCTTCAACCCAATTCTAGTTGCCTAAATTGAAAGATAATTGTGGCAATCCTGTAATGGCAACGCCATTCAAAACCAAGAATACTGATGAATCTATCACTTCTAGTGATATTCAAGGCCTCATGAAACAGGCCAACTATACCAATAAGTATCTTCAAGTCATAGGAGACAAGATCAGCAGAGATAAGATCCCTGCTAGCAATCGAAAGAAGAAGAAGCATCTTCTTTTGCTCCTCTAGATAAACCTCTTTTCAAACCTTTCAAGATTAGTGCCAAAGCCAAACATAAAATCTTAAAGCTTAGGCAGAAAGAAAAATCAAAAGCCTTAGAAGACAATCAGAACAAGTTGCTTAGTAAAATCACTAGTATACTTACAACTGTTCCTGAGACTCCTCATGCTTCTGAAGAGTCTAGTGTCAGACCAAAAACTAGAACTCTCTCTAAGACTGTCAATGCTATTTCTAAAGCCAATTCAGAACAATTTTCTGAAACAGATTCTGTCTTAAATATCAATCAAATGAATACAAATAGTAAGAACTAGAAATCTTCTTCTAAGCTTTATTACACTAGAGTCACTGCTCCTGATCTAGTCTTAGAAGAAGGTCATGATCATAATATCCAAAGTCTTAATTCAACTGACATTTATGTTTAGAACATAGATGGTAAGTCATAGTACAACATTGTCTCTACTCTACAACACATGTCCATTGTTGCCATGGGTTATTACACCAATCATGATTATGCTAAAGATACCATTGTTCATATCTTAGTTACAGGATTTTTCGGACAACTCAAAGGATGGTGGGATAATTATCTCACTAAAACTGATAGAGAAAATATCCTCTCTGTAGTTAAAATCGATGATACGGGAAAAGCCATTGTTAATAATGATGAGCAGCTCCGTGATGCATTATATACCATCTTATACATTATATCCCAACATTTCTTAGGAGATCCATCTTTATCGAGAGATAGATCTGCTGAATTATTATCCAACCTTAAGTGTAGAACCTTAGATGACTATAAATGCTATAAAGATACCTTTTTGTCTAGAGTCTATACTAGAGAAGATAGCCAACAACCTTTTTGGAAAGAAAAATTCTTAGTTAGTTTTCCCAAATCTTTCGGAGATCTGGTTAGAATCAAACTCAGAAATCAATTTGTCAATGGAGAAATTCCTTATGATAGTCTTACTTATGGTCAACTCCATACTATTATCACAAAAATAGCTCTAAAAGTCTGTCAAGAGGATAAGATTCAGAGACAACTAGCTACGGAGAGAGCCATGAATAAAAAGGATTTAGGGTCTTTCTATGAACAATTTGGTCTACCCTTTTTTACAACTAAAAAGAAAAAACAAACTCCTAAGAAGGAAACTATAGAAGTCAATAAGAAACCTTACAAAAGGAAGTATAATAGAAAACCTTCTAAGAAAACAGGGGAAGATGTCATCCCCAAAAATGTTCCTAGAAAACTAAGAACAGGTGTAACCTATTACAACTGTGGTAAACCCGGCCATATCCATAAATACTATAGGCTCAAAAGGAAAATTAGTAATCTCAACCTCGATCCTTCCTTAGAGGATCAAATTAATAACCTTCTCATTGAATCCTCTGATGACGATTCTGTGAAAGAATCAAGTGAAGATATCAATCAAATTTAGCAAGATAACCAAATGTCTTCTTCTGATAGCGATGAAATTCCAGAAATCAATGTTTGAACAAAAAAATAAGATCTTCTTTTTGAAGCTATCAATTCCATTTCTGATCCTCAAGAAAGAAAAATAAAGATTGAAAGAAAAGTAGACAGTAGCAGGACTACTAAACTAAATGCAGAAAATGTAATTGCAGAATGTAAATGCAAAAATTTAAAACATTAGAAACTAGAGTGGCGGTAGAACCAACACAGATCTAATGGAGGGAGAAGATATGAAAGCTGGACGACGGTAATCCGAATAAAACCAGCTAAGAGGGAGAAGAAAGAAAATTGCATAGAAACAAGATTTAATTAAAACTGAAAGAAAAGCTTACAAAGGATTGTATCACTCAGAGCTTCTCTCTCTAAAACTCTCTTGAATGACTAAATGAAAGGGTGCCTCATAACATGGTCGAGGACTCCTTTTTATAGAAAATTAAAATAATGTTTCTATAGTTCTGATTAGTAACAGGAACTATTGGTTTCAGTACAGGTTACAATTCCTGAATATCTATGCCGAAATAGTCATCTTCATTCTGATAGAAGTGTTCATCATTTTTGGACTGAGAATCCTTCTTTGAAGAAGTTTCAACTTCATCTTGATTTTGAAGAAGAAGGAGAACATTTTCAATTTTTCTTTTGAATCACATCCTGATAATCAAGCTGCAATTCTAGATTCTGATATAGAAATTGGAATGTTGCTGGATCAACAAGCTTTAACAATTTGGGATTAGCTCCGAAGAATTTATTGACTTCTGGAGGTCCTGCATGGTCTGCATTGAATTGGTTCCACCATTTCACAAAGGAATACTTGTGAAGGATGGGGAGTACTTCTTCTATGTCTGTTTTGCTGTATCTTTATTGCTATGAGAATACTTAGGGTAGAGCAAAAATAGAGAAATATTTAAGATCCGCAAGTATTCTTGATTCCTGTGAATATCTATTCTTGAAATGGGTATATCCTTCTTTTACTAGAGAAGGAAAAATCTCTTCTATTGGTCCAAAGAAGTCCTACTATTACAAGAACCAATTTGAAAAATTATAATTTGTATTCTTTTTCAAGTAGATTAACCAAGAGTGTTGATTAACCTTATTTTGAAACCAAAAAATTCTAGTCCAGGCATCAATATAATCCCAATACTTATATCGTACTGGATCAAAGGGTTGGGAGAATTTTTTTGTAAGAGTTTAAATTTTTTGCAAAGTTCTTTGGATTTAACACTTTGAGAATTTGGATGATTGAATGTGTAAGGATTGAAGGATCTTTTTTATCCTTGTAATGTTTAATGGAAACAGAATCTGAATTCACTAAGATAAAATCATAAAATTGTCTGGTTTTATTCAAAGCATATGGTCTAAAATAAAAACCAGGAGGGAAGGCTTTAGGAATAGCTTTGTAAGAATTTTTGTCCCAAAATTCAGGTTCCATGTATAATACTGAGGAAAATTTTCCTTTAGCAAGATAATGTGATGGATTTTGGGATTTTTTAAAAGTTTGTATTTGTTTATCTTTTTGGAGAGGAACAACTTTATTGTTTTCTCTAGAGAGACTAACTGTTTGAGTTAAGGATTGGATAATTCCATTTCCTCTTCAGAGGCAATATCTGCTCAAGATTTTTTAGGTAAACTACTTAAGCTTCCTTGTTGGATGGCTAAGAGTGTATTAATGGGTAAAGCATAGTCTGCTTTTGTTTGCTTGGATATTTTGGATTGGGATTGAGAAGAATCGGCCTTGTTGGTTGATTCTTTTTTAGGAATTCTAGATTGTTGGGTAGATGACTCAACAATTTGGATAGCTTTCTACGTCGATGACCCAGTCGAAGTAGATGACTCTGAAGAATCTGATTGGAGTCTCCAAAGACAGACTTTGCTTTTGCTTTGTTAAGAGTGAGAGCAAGTCTAACTCTTCCTCTGGATGATGTTCCTCCTCCCCTAGAAGGGGCTGTAGCCTTTTTAGGCATCTTACTTATCCTGTAAAAACTAACGGGTAAGGTAATCAAGAAGGAAATTTGAAGTGCCTTTGAGATATTTAATTTCAAAATAAAAAACACTTAGGATTGCTTACCATCTTGTAAAAGTTTGTTTGGAGGCAAGATTTTTAACATCTTTTTGTAAAATTTCTTTGGCAGACTTACAGTCTACTCTGATGAGAAACTTTTGATTTAGCAAGTCTGATTGAAATTTTGAAACACATAAAACAATTGCTAAAACTTCTTTTTTAACAGTTGAATAATTCTATTGTGTAGAATTCTAATGTTTTGAAGTATATGCAATGATATGCTCATGGGAGTCGACTCTTTGTTTGAGAATGTCACCATAACTTAATGTCAGAGGCATCTATTTCAACAATTTTGAATGCTTGAGGAATTAGAAGATAAAGACACTTTATTTCTTTTATTTTGGTTTTGATTTCCCTAACAACATCAGTATGAACATCAGTCCAGGAAAGAGAATTCTTTTTAAGTCTATCATGTAAAGGTTTAATGATATTGTTAAGATGAGGAATAATATTGCTCACATAATTAAGACATCCTAGAAACCTCTGTAATTGAGTTTTGTCAAGGATTTTATCTGAAAATTTATTAGCAAATTCAATAGATCTACTAATAGGGATGATAGTTCCCTGGTGAATATTATGACCAAGGAACCTAATGTTAGTTTGAGAAAGATTGATTTTTGACTTGGAGACTGCTAAACCATTCTGTTTGACCATATTAATAAAAACATTAATATGCTTGAAATGCTGATTAATAGAATGAGAAAAATTAATACGTCATTTATGTAGACTATGACAAATTTGGAATAAGGACTAAAAATATCATTCATGATTTTCTGGAATCCGGATTTCATATCAAATTTGGAGAAAATCTTAGCAGAATTGAGTCTGTTAAGAAAATATTTTTTGTTAGGAATAGGATACCTAATCCACTGAAGAGCCTAGTTAAGAGGCTTGTAGTTGATAACTAATCTGGGAGTACCCCTTTCTAATTCTACTTGTTTGTTAACATAGAACGCAAAACAAGACCATGGACTCTTACTTTTTCTGATGAGTTTTTTGTCTAAGATCTTTGATCTCTTTTTAACAATAATGAAGGAGTTCCTCATTTATTTGAATAGGTCTCGCCTTAGTAGGAATCAGACTTTCTTTAAAATCTGCCTCATAAGGAAGACTGACAATATGCTTCTTTTTACTTCAGAAAGCATTAGGAAGGTCAGAACATATGGAGGATTGAATAGACTCTAAAATGAGATTGAATAGATTCTAAAAAAGATTGAATTTTTTTTTTCTGAATTTATGAATTCTTCAGTTGATTATCAATATTAGCAAAAGAAACTTCTTTCAGAAAGTTAATTTGATTAACTTTATTTTGAATAAAATTAATATTTCTAGTAAAAGGTTTGCTAGAAAATTTAAATGTTATTTGCTTACCTAAATGATAAAAAATGAAATATAAATATATATATATATATATATATATATATACATAGAGTGTAGTGAATTCTATTATTTATAGGAAAATCTAAAGGAATACTGTAATATAGTTCCATCTCCAAAATATAGACATGGTTGGGTATATTATCACAATCTATGGCCAGCTTAAAATAACAACACATTTAATACTCATTAAATACATGGATCCTTAAATCTCTCTCTTAAACACACACTTTCAGTGCACTGTGATCACAAAAATACGATGCATCCAATATTTCTTAAGGTCTTATTCAACTAAGTAAACAGTCATCGATTAGCCCATGAACACAGATACAATGTAAACAATAACGACCCCTTAGCAAAGGTATAGTTAGGAGTCTAGTCAAGAAACGAGTGTGATGTCATATGATGCATTCGCTCTCAAAAAGAGTGTGTACATATACGCGAATGTCGCTTACCACCCTATGTTTCTCCTAGATTTCTCATTGTCTCTGGACTCTATACCCCCAGTGTATCTCTATAACTATTCACACTAGATTCATCCAGTACTTTATATTCATCCTATATTCAGCACCTTATACTCAACCCTTATTTATTTCATTTTTCAATCACAAGATCGTGCTTAATAAAGCACTTCAAGATTAAGTCCTTTTCCACTCACAACATAGAAATACAATTTTGAAACATGTATTATCAGTACAATATAATCATTTCCAACCAACATAATCACAAGAAATTTAACAGTTAGTTCTCATCACGTATTTCATATCAACACAACATGATTACTCAAACCAAATGATCAAACACTTATACCATCCATTTTTCCTCACAAATACTATTATTCAAACATATATTCTCATACAATAATCACATAATAATGCTCCTATGAGCACGAAATGTACACTTTAATAAAATGACAAAATAGAGCTCTCCTTACCTCACTGTGAGTATTTGGAGAGAGATTGATGAAGGCTATAATTCAACAATGAAAATTTTTCTGGATATCATGAGATACCCTTTGAGAACTGAAAAACAAGAGAAACCAACAAAGAAAATAGAGTTGAACCTGGAGAAACTTACTTAGAGTCACTTAGACTTGATGTCCAAGTACGGTTCGACGAGTGATCAGAGTTTTATGAAGTTTTATCTAGGAGAAGAGAGTGAGAGTTCAGAAAAAGTTAGAGTAGACGTAAGATTTAGAGCGAAATAAAATTTTCATATTGGAAATCTCTTAAATACCTCTCAACTCTATGCGCTCTGGCTTGAGCAAGACATATCTCGTATGGGCAAGAACACTAGATAGTGGTCTCCCCAAGCATTGTTTGATATTCTTACTTGGGTGAGGTCATTCTCGCATGAGCGAGACAATGTCCAGAGAATTGGACATTTTTCTTGTGAGCCCTCGCCTGCGTGACTTAGCTCACTTGAGTGAGATCACGCCTGGGTGAGAGGACAGTTGGGGCAAGCCTATCTGATCTTGTTTGAGCGAGATTGCCCTGAAAACATGTGGTTCTAGGCGCTCAGTCTCTCTTGAG